AGTGTGTTGCCTGTTTGGGGTCAGATATCCGTTTTGATCCTTCTTCATACCTGGAAATACTTCCCAGGTGGTTTGGGTGTTGAGTGTCAGCATTCAGACCGTGGAGAGGACAGAGGTGGGTCGTCTGTCGTCGGTGGTGGAGGTCCTGAAACAGTGGGGAACCTGGTGGGGTCTGGCCGAGGCTGGCTGCCCCTCCCGGAGCTCCTTCCCGGGAGGCTGCTGCGGCCACGGGACAGGCACTGAGCCGGCGCAGGAGCAGGTGTGCGGGGGTCAGGCGGGCGTGCCCAGCCGCTGCCCCTGGAGGCGGAGCTGTGGTGCCAGCCCTGGTGTTGGCACAGTGAGCACGCTGCAGTCTGCCGGGCAGCAGGAGGGATTCACCTGGTGGCTCGTCTGGATCCCTGGGGTCCTGATGGAACGTTCCGGAGCACACAGGAGAGAGCCTGTGGGGACGTGGCCGAGGAAACACCGAGGGGACCGCACGGGCTGACCTCCGCCTGGTCTCAGAGCCTGCTGGGATGCTGGTGCCCCCTGGCGTGGCCCCCTGGCGTGGCCCCCTGGCGTGGCCCCTGGCGTGGTCAGAGTGCGGCGGGCCCTGACGCTGCCCTGGCCCACTGAGCTCTCCTTTGCCCGTATTTTATTGTCCTCACCAACGGAACGTTTTAGGGCTAATTGCTAATGTATAACCTCAGCTTGGAAGCCAACTCTTTATAACACTTAATAGTGGCTGGGAATGCCCCTGAGCTCGTCACCGCGGCGACGGGATGCGAAGCAGGACCTGATGGGTGACACCGCGAGGGGGCGAGTGGGAGTGTGAGGGGACAGCTGGGCCTCCGCGTCCCCAGGGGGCGTCCCCGCATCCCCGTCCTGCCCTCCGCCGGCTGGGACAGGGCTCCCGGAGTGGGGGACTCTTGGAGGTCAGGGTTGTAGTAGGACTTGCCGAACAAGCAAATCTCTGCCTGTAGTCTCCAAACCGGCCATCCCTCACGACAGCTGGAGAGATTCAGGTCAGACTAAAGATAGAACTTCCCGCTGCCAGGGTGTGAGGGTGTGATGGGGAACGGTGCCAGCTGTCCTTCGGTCACCGAGACCCTTGCCTGGCTGCGGGGACACGCTTCCCAAAGGCAGGGGTGCGCTGGTGTTCCTGGAGAGGGTCATGCGTCGTCCCTCGTCCCTGGAGACCGGCCAGCGCCAGAGCGGGAAACCATTGCAAAGTGATTTCTCCCTCCAGCGAAGCTGTATATCATGTTTTTTAATTTAAAAAGGTGCCCAGTGGAAGCATAACAGACCATTAAGTGCTTGGGTTCCTAATTAACTCCGCAGCCTGGAGCTGTGTGCCAGGAGGGAGGGGGGAGGGCCAGGTCCTCCCAGAGGCAGGACTTCTCCCTGGGGTCCCGATGTGTGTGTGTGTGGGGGGGGGCGCACGGCCCCGGGCTCCAGCTCCAGGTCCCCTCTGGAGATTCAGGGGGACCCGTGTTTACCAAGTGGTACTTGGACGAGGACGCTGTGGTCCATGGACCTTGGGCGGCGGGGGTGGGGGGGCACCTTGCAAAGCCCCCTCTCACTCCAGGTCTCCACTTCTCCGTCGTCTAATGGGGTCACCCTGAAGCCTGACCCCGGGGAATTGGAGAAGGGGCTCCGTATGCAGCAGGCACTCGGTGTGTGTGGGGTCCTGTGGGACATGAGCGCCACCCCGATGTGCCCCCTGCTGACTCTCGGGAAGGCAGGGTGAGTCCTGCCAAGGTCCCCGCAGGCCCGTCCTCTGACCTCCCCCGTGCCCTCCGCATCCTCGTGGGGCGAGGTGTGGCGCAGGCAGCGGGTCCTCCGCCTCCTGGACGGAGGACAAGCAGGGCCCGCGAGGTTGGGGGCTTGCCAGGCCTGACCCTGGTGCCAAGAGCCAGGATCCTGCTGAGGCAGCAGAGCTGGGCGGCTGCCCCGGGACCCGGGCCAGCCTCCTCGGATGACGGGGAGACGGGAAGGCGGCAGGAGGGTCTGGGTGCGTGAGGAGCTGTGTGGCCCCGGGCCGGTGGCTTCCTGAATGAAAACCAGCAGGGTGTCCAGCCACTGCCTTGAACGTCCTGCCCTGTCCCGTCCGCTGTCCGCCGAGGACGCGCAGCCGAGGAAGGAGATGAGTGTTGGCGGGGCTCGCCCGGGCCGGCCCGTGCGGGGCCTCAGGTGCTCGGGTGGTGCTGCCCTCGCCCTCCTGAGGGAGCTCCCAGCAGGGTCTCCACTTGGCAGAGAAAAAACAGGCCCAGAGGGCAGAGTGACTTCCCGAGGTCACAGAGCTCACGCTCACGCCCTGCCCGGGACCTGCAGCCTGAGGTGGCTCTGGGCCTTTGGCTCTGCAGGTCCCGGTCAGGTGTCCACGTGCGCCGGGGGCTGGAAGGCAGAGCCAGGCAGAGGTGAGCCATACACACGACCTGTCAGCAAGACAGAGCCGTGAGGTGTCTGTCCGCCGCCCGCCCTCCCCCTGCACCTGCTCTGTCCCCCTGCAGCGGGAGAGTCCCCAGGCCCCCGGCTCCTCTGGGCTCGGGGATCGAGGAGACAGTGTTTGTGGACAGATGCCTTCCCGTCCCAGCACGCTGCGCGATTATGCAAATCCAGCCATAAAAAGTTTAAAAGCCTGGAACCACCATCTTTCTTTATTTAATTAGTGTTGGCACTGGCTGCAGTCAGTGTGGCAGACACGGGGGCCAGCCCCCGCGCACCGTCCCCGTCCCCTGCCCCCTGTCCTCTGTCCCCCCTCCCCGTCCCCCCTCCCCGTCCCCCATCCTCGTCCCCATCCCCAATCCTTGTCCCCGTCCCCTTCCCGTCCCCATCCCCGTCCCGTCCCCCGTCCCCATCCCCCATCCTTGTCCCCATCCCCTTCCCGTCCCCCGTCCCCATCCCCCATCCTTGTCCCCCATCCCCGTCCTGTCCCCCTTCCCCATGCCCCATCCTTGTCCCCCATCCCCGTCCCGTCCCCCGTCCCCATCCCCCATCCTTGTCCCCATCCCATCCCCGTCCCCCTTCCCCATCCCCCATCCTTGTCCCCATCCCCGTCCCGTCCCCCTTCCCCATCCCCCATCCTTGTCCCCATCCCATCCCCATCCCCCATCCTTGTCCCCATCCCATCCCCGTCCCCCTTCCCCATCCCCCATCCTTGTCCCCATCCCCGTCCCGTCCCCCTTCCCCATCCCCCATCCTCGTCCCCCATCCCCTGTCCCTGTCCCTGTCCCCTTGGCGGAGGCTCCTTGCAGGGGGGACTGTGTGTGGGCTCAGCTGCGGGCACAGGAGCTCTGGCTGGGGACGCACAAGGCCCCAGGCACCTCCCAGTGGAAAGAGCCCCCTGGGCCTTCAGTGTTACAGGTGGGGACACCGAGGCCTGGCGGTGGGGATCAGGAGACCCTCCTGGCCCCGCTTTCCCTGGTGGATGCCCCACGGGTCTGCGAGCCCCTTGCTCTCCGTGCCCGGCAGTCTCACCGTGTGGGAGGGCAGCGTGTCAGGACATGAGAAGGGGCTGTCCCGAGGCCCCGTCTGCCACCAGCTGGGCTGGTGGGGGCAGCACATGGGGAGGAGAGACCCCCCAGAACCGCTTGCCACTCACAAGGTGCTGACACGGCGTGAACCCCAGACGGTCACACTGGGCGTGGGGGCCTGTGCCCACAGGCAGGCCTGGCTGGACCGTGGTGGTGCGGCCCGCGCGCAGGTGATGGCGCAGCGTGCCTGGGTGCCGACTTCGCCGGTGCACGAGAGGCCTGTGTTTGCACGCCGGCAGCGCTCGGCACACGCGTGTGGGGGCCCTGTGCGCCTGCAGCGGCTCCGCGACCAGGGCACCCGGGAGGGGGGGCAGGGAGAGGCCGGGCACCCTGCCCTGCCAGCACCTGCCCGTGACAAGGGTTCTTTAGGCCTGTAATCCTCCTTAACTTGACTGTGGGTTATTTTGAGGAAGAGATTAAAGGTGATTATGATCGGCATTGCTGAGGCGACGCACTTCCCAGATGGGCCTGCGGCTCCCCCCGCAAGGCTGGGGCGGAACCAGCCTCTGATCAGCCCGGCTGAGCCCCCTGCTAGGAAGAGCCCTTGTGGGGTCCTCAGGAGCCCCAGGGGGTGCGAGTCACGGCAGGGTGCTGGCTGCAGGGCTGGGTGACAGGCACTGTGGGAGGTGCTGGGGGTGAGCAGGGACACCAGTTGCCCAGAGCGACCTCTGCCGCGGGTCACCGAGCCCCCGCCCCGTCTGAGCCCCTTTCTCTTTAAAGCAGAGCCCGGCCGTCCCCTGGGAGCCCGATCGACTGTTCATGAAGTTTCCAGGGGGAAAATCCATCTCACATCACACTTTTCCTCCTAATTTAAGCCGCTTGGTTGCAAACGTCAATATCTGTGAAAGGCACCCAGCTGGCCGCCCGCCAGGCCGCCCAAGGTGCACAGGCCGCTGTAGATGCTGATGTTACCACCAGACGCAGGAGCCCCGCTGTCCGTCCTGCGGGAGGACACGGGCAGGCCACGTCCCCCACGCACCCCACCGCCACCTGCAGGACCCACCCCGCGTGCAACAGCCACGTCCGCCTGCGTGCGGGCCCGGGGGCGAGGGGCAGAGGGCGGCTCTGACCACCACGTTGTTCTGTGGGGAGGGGGTGGCAGGGGCCAGGCGGTCAGAGGAGGGAGAGGACAGACGGGTCCTTCCCTGGGCCTGGGGAGGGTGTGGGGAGTCCAGGGCCTCGCTGTTCGAGGGCCTGACTGGTGTCTCCCTGGAGAGTCACTGGAGGGGAGCCCGGAGCTCAGGAGGACGCCCTGGGCAGCTCAGAGCGCCCCCTAGAGGTGGCTGCGAGAGCCCTGGCCAAGTCTGGGGCAGAACACATCCCTGTCCTCAGGGGCCAGGGCGGGGCCAGGGCGGGGCCAGGGCGGGGCCAGGGCAGCCTGTCATCAGCTGTGTTACCAGGCGGCTCAGCTGAGCTTGAAGCAGGGCCACACAGGCCACAGGACGCCCGCCGCCTCCTGACCGCTCTCTGCTTGTCTTGTCACAGGACCCGCTGAGCTGGAGGCACAGGGAGGAGCTGTCCGGACATCCAGGCCGATGGGGAAGGAAGCCATGGTGGCAGCAGGACACAGTGGGTGGACGGCGAGAGGTGGCCGGCCGTGACGAGTGCTCCCTCCCAGCTCTTGCTGTGTGACCATGCGGCCTGGGACAGGACGCGCCTGAGAGTGTGGGCGCCCTCCCCTCCTTCCCTCCGGGCTGCCGCCCAGCCCCCACCGGTCCCCTGGGCAGGCGGAGCGGGGTCTCCCGCAGGGCGGTCCCCATGGCCGGGCGGCGGTGGGGCGTGCTGTGGGTGTGCGCGCTGGCGGCCACGCTGCTGCACGGGGGCGGCCTGGCCCGCGGCGACTGCTGGCTGATCGAGGGCGACAAGGGCTTCGTGTGGCTGGCCATCTGCAGCCAGAACCAGCCGCCGTACGAAGCCATCCCACAGCACATCAACAGCACCGTGGTGGACCTGCGGCTGAACGAGAACCGCATCCACACCGTGCAGCACGCCGCGCTCAGCCGCTTCGGCAACCTCACGTACCTCAACCTCACCAAGAACGAGATCGCCTACATCGAGGACGGCGCCTTCTCCGGCCAGTTCAACCTGCAGGTGCTGCAGCTGGGCTACAACCGGCTGCGGAACCTGACGGAGGGCGCGCTGCGGGGCCTGGGCAAGCTGGAGTACCTGTACCTGCAGGCCAACCTCATCGAGGTGGTCACGCCCGGCGCCTTCTGGGAGTGCCCCAACATCGTCAACATCGACCTGTCCATGAACCGCATCCAGCGGCTGCACAGCGCCACCTTCGCGGGCCTGGCCCGGCTCTCGGCCTGCGAACTCTACAGCAACCCCTTCTACTGCTCCTGTGAGCTGCTGGGCTTCCTGCGCTGGCTGGCGGCCTTCACCAATGCCACGCAGACCTACGACCGCATGCAGTGCGAGTCGCCGCCGCAGTACTCCGGCTACTTCCTGCTGGGCCGGGGCCGCCACGGCCAGCGCAGCATCCTGAGCACGCTGCAGTCCGTGTGCACGGACGGCGCCTACCTGGCCGAGCCCCACCTGCTGCCCGAGGCCCGCCCGGTGCCTGGCCGCTCTCAGCCTGGCCGCTCTCCGCCCCCGCCACCCCCGGAGCCCAGCGAGGCCCCCTGCGCCGCCGAGGACTGCTTCTCCGGCGACGGCACCACCCCGCTGGTGGCCCTGCCCACCCTGGCCACGCCGGTGGAGGCGCGTCCCCTCATTAAGGTCAAGCAGCTGACGCAGAACTCCGCCACCATCATGGTCCAGCTGCCCAGCCCGTTCAACCGCATGTACACGCTGGAACATTTCAACAACAGCAAGCCGTCCACCGTCTACAGGCTGACCAAGCCCCAGCAGGAGATCCGCCTGCCCAACCTAGCCGCACTCACCAACTACACCTACTGCGTGGTGTCCACCAGCTCCGGCCTGCTGCACAACCACACCTGCCTCACGCTCTGCCTGCCCCAGCCGCCCAGCCCGCCGGGCCCCGTGCCCAGCCCCTCCACGGCCACCCACTACATCATGACCGTCCTGGGCTGTCTCTTCGGCATGGTGCTGGTGCTCGGCGCCGTCTACTACTGTCTGCGCAAGCGTCGGCACCGGGAGAAGCACAAGACAGCGGCGGCAGCGGCGGCCGGCAGTCTGAAGAAGACCATCATCGAGCTCAAGTATGGGCCGGAGATGGAGGCGCCCGGCCTGGCCCCGTTGTCCCAGGGCCCGCTGCTGGGGCCCGAGGCTGTGACCCGCATCCCATTCATGCCTGCGGCTGCCTGTGAGGTGGAGCCGTACAAGCTGGTGGAGAGCGAGACGCCCAAGGCCAGCAAGGGCTCCTACATGGAGGTGCGCACGGGCGAGCCCGCCGAGCGCAGGGACTGCGACCTGGGCCGGCCGGGCCCTGACAGCCAGAGCTCGGTGGCCGAGATCTCCACCATCGCCAAGGAGGTGGACAAAGTCAACCAGATCATCAACAACTGCATCGACGCGCTCAAGTCCGAGTCCACCTCCTTCCAGGGCGGCAAGTCGGGGGCCGTGTCCACGGCCGAGCCCCAGCTGGTGCTGCTGTCCGAGCCGCTGGCCGGCAAGCACGGCTTCCTGTCCCCCATGTACAAGGACGCCTTCGGCCACGGCCTGCAGCGTCACCACAGCGTGGAGGCCGCCTCGGGGCCCCCACGCACCAGCACCTCGTCCAGCGGCTCCACGCGGAGCCCCAGGGCCTTCAGTGCCGAGGCCGCCAGTGCCCACAAGGCCGCCACCCCCGAGCCCAAGTACATCGAGAAGAGCTCGCCCGCGGCTGACGCCATCCTCACTGTGACGCCCACTCCCGCGGTGCTGCGGGCGGAGGCGGAGAAGGGCCGCCAGTATGGTGAGCACCGGCACTCGTACCCGGGCTCCCACCCCGCCGAGCCATCCTCGCCGCCCGCGCCCTCGCCCCACGACAGCCTGGGCAGCCGCAAGGCATCCATCCTGGAGCCGCTGACCCGGCCGCGACCCCGCGACCTGGCCTACTCGCAGCTGTCCCCACAGTACCGCCACCTGAGCTATGCCTCCAGCCCCGAGTACACCTGCAGGGCCTCCCACAGCATCTGGGAGCGGTTCCGCTTCAGCCGGCGGCGGCACAAGGACGACGAGGAGTTCATGGCGGCCGGCCACGCACTGCGCAAAAAGGTCCAGTTCGCCAAAGACGAGGACCTGCACGACATCTTGGACTACTGGAAGGGCGTGTCAGCCCAGCACAAGTCCTGAGCCCTCGCCGTGCTGCACTGGACTCCCGATGCCCACTGGACCAAACAGGACACAGACCCACTGTAGCTCTTGTGACCCAGAGACTCGTGCGCCAATGCACACGCACACACATGCACGCACACATACACACACGCACACGCCTGCGCGCACACACCTGTGTGCACACGCACACCTGTGCGTGCACATGTATGTGCACACGCAGGCACAGACACACAATGTGCACACATGCGCACAGGGCACGGGCACATGCGTGCTTGCACACACAGGCACATGTACACACATATAAACAGCACACACATGTGTGCATGCATTCAGTACAAACATGGACAGGCACACACACGCACATGTGCACACACATGCATACACATGTGCACACAGACACATGCACACAGACACATGCACACACGTGCACACACATGCGTACACATGTGCACACAGACACGGCACGGGCACATGCGCTTGTGCACACAGACATAGGCACATGCGCACACATGTATAAACACAGCACACACATGCACACATGTGCGCATACAGTCAGTACATACATGGACACGGCACACACATGCACACACACACGCAGGTGACAGCAGGTGAAGCTGGCCCTGCAGAGAAAGTGGGGAAGGGGCGTGGACAGTGACAGCACATGGACCTGCCCTGGGACGCTCTCACGGTGTGAGCGGCCTGTCTGCACACACACTGCGTGCACACGCACATGCACACACATGCACACACACTCAAACACTAGGGACTTCGGAAAACTGTGTCTTAGGGATGGGGGTTGGGGGAGGGGCACTTCTTTTTCAGTATCTTCCTGTTTTGATTCTTCCCTGCCTCCTTTCCTCCCCCTCCCTTTTTTAAAGATAATAATAATGATAATAATAATAATAATGATAATAATAATAAAAGTAAAATTCTCTTTACAAGATAGAACACCAGACGTGGGGAGCATGGCCCTGGCTTCTCGCATGATCTCCGTCATGGTTTTCTGTGGACTCTGTTCCGTCGTCTCTTCGACGCCACCGCTGGAGGCCACTGGCAACAGGAAGAGGGACACAGGCGCCGAGTGGAGCCCTGGGGACTCGAGGGGGGTGTGCCTGTGGACACCGGGTGGCGGGAAGGGGCGTGGCGGGCTGTGTGCCCGTCCCGTCCCCACTACACTGTTGTCGTCCTAATTATACAGAAGAAATATTTCTATATTTGCAATGTTTGCTGTAAAATGAGAAAGAAAAAAGACTATGTCTACTAAAAAAATTCTGCAAAGGAAAAAACCCAAATAGTTGTTTGTATGGTTTTTACTGTGGGATTTAGGGAAAGAGTTGGGGTTTGTGTCTGGTTGATGGTGGTTTTACTGATGTTGAGCCCCGGGTGGGGGCTTAGGTTGCAGGTGGTCACCCTGAGCCCTCCTGAGAGAATGGGAGTGACCCCAAGTGACCCTGGGGGTGCACCAGAGCCTGTGGCAGAGGTTGGCCGTGGGAGGGTGGGCGAGTGGGAGAGGGGGGCACGTGGGAGAGGGGGGCACGTGGGAGAGGGGGTTGTGTGGGAGAGGGGGTGCGTGGGAGAGGGGGTGCGTGGGAGAGGGGGTGCGTGGGAGAGGGGGCAGCCCTCCCGGGCTGGAGACGGTCCAACAGCGCTGGGAGCGAGAGGCCGTGGGACAGGCCAGGAAGAGGCGAGGGGCCTGGGGGCCTGGGGTCTGGCTGTGACCAGCTGTGCAGAGATGGGAGCTGAGGGGGTGCGGGGGCTGTGGGCAGCGGGGAGACCGGTGTGGATGGGGTGTGAGTGGGTGAGTGCAAGAGGCTTGGTGGGGTCATGGGGTAGGGGTGACCCCTGCAGTGGCTGGAGCCCCCCCTCCGGGAGAACTTCCTGAGATCCGCACCTGCAGACCCCGTCCCCACCCAGCGGGGTGCGGCCCAATTCAGTGCTGAGGCTCCTTGAACAGGACCACGGCCCGGACGCTCCCACAGGCCCAGAGGAAGCCCCTCCGCGGCTCCTGTGCTTTGGATGCCAAACCCACAGGGTCCCCTCATCCTGCCCCCTGCCAGGAGCCAGAGCAAGGCTGTGAGGGGACAAGTCGCTTCTGAACCCTGTGCCACCCCCCAGCCTTGGTCCTGCAGCATGGCCTTCTCCTGGGGTGGAGGGGGCGGGGCTGCCCTCCTGGGGTGGAGGGGGCCCAAGCTGCCCTCCTGGGGTGGAGGGGGCGGGGCTGCCCTCCTGGGGTGGAGGGGGCGGGGCTGTCCTCCTGGGGTGGAGGGGGCGGGGCTGCCCTTCCTGGGGTGGGAGGGGGCCCAGGCTGCCCTCCTGGGGTGGAGGGGGCGGGGCTGCCCTCCTGGGGTGGAAGGGGCGGGGCTGTCCTCCTGGGGTGGAGGGGGCGGGGCTGCCCTTCCTGGGGTGGAGGGGGCCCAGGCTGCCCTCCTGGGGTACCAAACCTTCCTACCTGGCCGGTGGCCCTCCCCTGTCCTTCCTAAGGCCCTGGCTGCTCCTCCATCCAGGGAAACCCCTTCCCCATCTCTGGTTCTGGTTCTACAAAGACCCATTGAGGCGTGGGGGGGCTGGAGCAGGGATGGTGGCTGGTTCTCGGACCTGCTGGTCACCAGGAAAGGACCGGGCTCCACTGGCTCAGCAGGGGAGGGGATGGGGCTGGGACAGTCCGGAGTCCGGCAGCTCCTCCTTGCACACCCCTGGTGACGGGATGCTCAGCCCTTTCCTCAGGAGCTGTTTCCCACTTTAGGCCTGTTTCTGAGACGGACCAGAAACAGTGGTTTCCCACGGGGCCCTGCTTGACTCCCTGGCCCGGGCCACGCCCTGCTGTGGACGGGCTCTCTGCCCACCCAGGCTGGCCTGCCCGTCGACCTTCGGGGCCTGTGCACGAGTCCTTCATACAAGACGCCTAACCTGGGGCCCTCACTGGACCCTCGTGACAGAGCCCCTCCCACAGGCTGTTTCCATGGCCACCGCACGCCCTGCCTGTCCCTGCTTGCCCTGACCGGCCCAGCCCCCGCTCCGGGAAGCCTCTCACCCTCCACCGTGGGAGCCCGGAGGACAGCGCCCGGAGCCCCCTGTGATGTGACCAGGTCAGTGAGGGTGTGCCCAGGCACGGGCTGGAAGGAGGCAGGGCCCTGGGCTGGTGGGCGGAGGCGCAGGGAGGGCCCTGCCTCATCCTAGGTCACAGCAACATGGACACAGCCCTGGCCAGGCCACCTCAGCCTGCTGCTTCCTGTCACCGAGGACCCAGAATTGGCTATTTATAGGGAGTCGGGACCACGGAGTAAGGTGGGCGGGGCCGCTGGCCAGTCAGGCCCACTGTGGGAGGGCTCAGCGCACCCAGAGCACCGCCATCCGGCAGGGGTTCGAGGGACAGGCGAGAACTGGAGAGGGCATCAGAGTGTGGGGTCCTGAGTGGCCAAGACGTCCCTTCCAGAGGCCCAGCCTCCCTGGACACCAAGGTGTGGACAGAGGCGGCAGTAACGGCCCAGCGCCAGGCCGGTCTGGGTTCCCGCCTGAAGGAGTGGTAGCGGCATTCAGGAGACACACAGGAGACACCTGCCCAGTGCCAGGCTCTGTGCCCACCTCCAGGGCCCGGGAGGCGCCCGCCCCGCCCGCCCTCCCCCAGCTCCCAGGCCAGCGGGCACCGTCCCAGAGGTGGGACCCAGCTCAGGGTGGCGGGGCAGGGAAGGCCAGGGGAAGGGCGGGGACTCCTGCCTGGGAGGAGCCTGGGTGGCGTTCCGGGGGTGGCGGTGTCTGGTCTGAAAGGGGGACACCAGTGAGGAGAGGTCGGCACCCCTGGGCTCAGCGGGGAGCTGCCTGCGGCATGAGGGTGCCTACCAGGGGGCCCTGCCCTGGGGCTGGGGGTCTGTCGGGCGGGTTGGAGGCCAGAGCATGGCTCACACCCGGGCTCTGCCACTACTGACCGCCTGGCTGTCGTAAGTCGCCGGCCTCTGTCCCTGCCCCACCGACTGGGTCACGCAGGTGGAGGCTGCTTGGGCCATGCCGGTCGTGTGCCACTGTCTGTGGGCCCAATGATGCCACATACCGGCCAACCCCCCGCATTATGGCTCACGGCCACCTGCCCACGGACTGGAGGTGGCTGGTAGGAGCGGGGCACGGGGAGGACTGAGTTCTGTTCCGACAGTCCAGCAAACCAGCCCAGGTGATGGCCAGGTGTCCCTGAGCAGCTCACATGGCAGGGCTCGGTCACGGCAGGACAGTAATATGTGCACGTGTGTGTGTGTGCGTGTGTGTATGTGTGTGTGTCCCCCTTCCATCCACAGTGGCAAAGGGCATGGCCACGGGAGGGGTGATGAGTCAGCACCACCCAGAGTCAAGAGGCCAGGTGCACGGCTGAGCCCCGTGTGTCTCCTCCAGCAGGTGACCCCAGAGCGCAGACCGCAGAGACCCAGACCCATGTTCCTGAGGTCCCATCCGTCCACCCCCCTGTTCTGTCTCCCACCCCCTCACTTATCCAACACACACCTGCAGAGCCCCTACTGGGCGCCAGGCATGCTAGAGAGGTCAGCAGAACCTGCTCCCGCCCCTACGCGTGGATCCGTCACAGTCGACAGGGAAGCAGTAACGCCCCACACAATTCTAGGGGGCTGTCTACCAGGACCGTTGGGGACCCACAGGGCTGGCTGGCAGCATGGACTGGCCCACTGGGACAAGGGCCGCCGGGGCCCTGGGTGGGGCCCGCAGTGGAGGACAGCCAGCCGGGCGAAGCCATTTCCTCCTCCCTTCTCCTGGGGGCACCGCTTGGCTGAGTAGCCAGAAGCCCCAGAGGCAGAAGTCCGTCCTCTGCGGACCGTGGAGAGACTGGGTGGAAGAGGGGTACGGGCGACAAGGACGGTCCTGTGCACAGCGGTGAGATGCTGGGACACAGAGGAGGGGCTGTCACCTGCCTTGGGGTGTCAGGGGACCCCGGGAGGTCAGCACTTCAGACCTTGGAGGGCAAACAAGAACGGGCTCAGTAAATATGGGAGGTAGGACGAGGGACTCCCCCGGGGGGACAGAGGGACCCCGCCCCGGGCCCAGCCGGGACCAAGAGGTTGGCTCTGTCCGCCTCGCAAGCAGGAAGAGACCAGCGTGGGGTGGGCTCTGATGGTGTTTTATAAAATAATAACTTGGCC